ACTGTTAACTACAATCACCGAAGCTTTGACGGATGCTCATATATTATGTGTAGCTCAAACTTCTGCATCTATCATACTGTATGGCACAGGAGAAGCCGACAAAGGCATGTGATCTCAGACAACGGATCTGGCTTTTCAGGTAAGTGGTCGTGCGGCGATCGCACTGTGAACGTCAAGCGTCTGGCGATTGCTTTCAGTCCTCATGGCCGTGACTTCCGTCATCATGCGGAGGATAGGCTCCACGCGTCTGTTTGAATGTGGCATCCGCGCGCACATTGCTGCCTTCTGGAGAAGAAGGATCTGTTGTTGGGAACCTGATAAGTTGCGGGGCCCGCCCACCGTGGCTCGGTAGCTGGCGCCCGCGTCTCTTGCCAGGGATAGGTACGCATCACATGCTTCAGCCCAGCGTCCGTTGTGCTGGAGATACCTGCACAATGTCTCTGGATCGTCCTTTGCATGCACCTGTAAGAAGTTCTTCAGGTAGGGAGACTTATAGCGATATGGCGGGAGGCCAGACTGCATCATCCACTTCAATACGCAAAAATGGAAGAGCTCGTCTGCCTGGTATTGACGGCCTTCTAGACAATGTCGTAGCAGTGCATCAAGAATTGAAGTGGCGTCACTTTCTTGAATGTGCGAAGGCAGCAGTTCCGGTAAGTCCAAACTGCGTGAACTAGTGACGCCATCGTCCTGCAGCGGTTGCAACATGGCGAAATTGCTCTGCATCCCAGGTCGCTGCCTTGCAAAGGACAAGAAATCATCAAGGACACCCAGAACGATTTGGTAGCACTCCAGGCGGGCGTAGTGGAGCTGCTGGATGCGAGGATTAGAGGCATCATGTGGCCTCATGGCCTCGTCCTTCGAGTCGCGTGCCTTCGCTACGCTGGAACAGAGTGCCACGAGTCCCTGGCAGGGTTGCGTATGGCCAGTATTGCACGGCCCTTGTAGGTTAACAAACTGTGTAGCAACGGAAAGACCATGAAAGTCACACTGTCCTAGCGATCGCGAAGAAGCACGAGGTAGCTGAATAACAACGACACAGCCCCGTGGCCCCAAAAAACGCAGTACTTAGAACTGTACACTGCACGCCCGGTGTTCACGTGTACAAAGCGACAATTACGTCTGAAAGACTCGCTGGTTGAGAGCTGGAACATGCCATACACATGTGCAGAACAATGAAAGCCCCTCGAGCCTTGCATGCACCCACAGCTCGCAGGCGCCCGGCAGCTTCCGTTAAGTTGACACGTGCCGCATGTCGTTCAAGAACGGATAACGCCCGATGAGTCAGATTGCTTAGACGTGCGATTTCCAGCATACTGGCGCTGGCTCCAGCAGCCTTCAAACTCTCTTGGACCATCCGGAGAACCTCAAAGCTTTCTTGAATTTCCAAGTCGGATTGGCTGAACAGCGTGGGACATCTCGAAAGATCTCGAGAAGCCACGACTCCCGCTTGCATCAACCGTTGCAACACCTGCTGTGCCTCAGGTTGACATACCAGATCGCGAAATGTTAGCTCAGAGAACCGCTGGAGGACCTCTGCTGGGCAGGATCCGGATGACATGGCCGCCGTGCAGCCCGACAAAAGATCCAGAAAGTCCAGGGCTTCGAGCGATGCCGCAACGATTCGTACTGCACCTTGCGCTGCATCCACTTCTTCTTGCGAGATGCTAGCACCTGCAAAACCACCGTCTGCGAGGCCCGGTTCCGTCCGGACAAGGCGCGGGAGACAACGATCCAAAGTCATCTTGAGAAGCGACAGCTCAGATTGTGCATACGATCTCTGCGGCTTTGAAAAAGCACACCTCCATTGAGCACCCTTGGCGACTGGTGCAGGGTCAGGAGGTGGCGGCCACCATTCGTCGGGCCGTTTCCGCTTTGGTTTCTCCGTCTGGGCAGGTGGCCAGGATACCAGCATCACAGGGGAAAGCCAGAAGGGCCTGACCAGCCTGCTCAAGTACGAGTAAAGCCCTCGGAGACGTGCAGATAAGCGAGCAGCGGTTTGAAACATAACAGGGTATCCCAGCGGAGAAGTCTGCGCCGAGATCTGCGGGCCCTGCAAAGAAGGCAACACCTGAGAGAAGCCCATCTGCACAGAAAGCTGCGGTGACAGCAGAAACTGCTCGGTGCGCAGCAGCAGGACCTCTTCTGCAGGGTCTCGCAGAGACGCGGTACTTGCGAGGGAGCTGCTCGGCTGCATCAACATGTCGTTCTTGGCAATACTGCCTCTGAACTTGTTTCGTGAAGCTGCAGAGGCATCGGTCTTGTCTTGCCTAGAAGCATTGCTGCGCGCAGAAATCTTTGGCATCGCTTGTGTCAAAGTTTGGAAGCACATTGCGCAAACTTGCTCTGCCGTAAATTGGTTCACGAAGTCTTGCAGCTGCGCCATGTTTCCGTTCAGTAGCAGGCCTTGAAGCACATTTATAGGCTGCGTCTTTCTGAGAATATGTGCACCGATTCCAGAAATTATGATGAAGGAAGGCGCTGGGACCAATTGCTGCTTCGCAAGTTCGCTGAGGTGGAGCACCGGCAGTACCAAGCCATTTCCTTTCGAGAATAATTGCTCAACTGGCTTAGATACAGGCCGTGGCAGCATGGCAATTCCCAAGATTTCGGGAACAGCAGAGCCACTTCGATGCAAGTGAACAGTGTCGACATGTTCCGCCAAGCTGGCATGCTGGAGCCAAGGAGAACGATTGCGGCCCTGCTTTTGAGCGATCACCCGCAGGTCAGTGCTCAAAGCAACTACAGCGTTCACGGACTCCGGCGTCTCCGCGCCTCCTGCCCTTGCCCCAGCAAATGCCGATGACGCGGAATCGTGTTCAGACATCTGGCACTGCAGCAATGTCACACCATCTTCCCACAGCGCATCCTTCACTCTCAGGTTCTTCGGGGCTAGAGCATCCAGAAATCGAACATGGTGAACAGCCACGGATGTAATTTGGCTGCATCGCTGATGGGTTAGATTGCCCGATGAATTCATGTCAGATGTTGGCGCACTCGAGGAAGCTCGAAAAACGCCCTTGAGAAAAACGCGAGTGCCATCTTCAGCGACAGCACAAGCGACTATGCTTCCCCCCTGAGTCTTCTCCACCGGCCAAACCTTGACCAACCTAGGCGGTTGCGATGCAAGACCAGTCGCCGCTGCGACTGCACCGAACGGGTTCAGACCTCTGGAGTTCGCGGCCAACAAACCAGGGAAGAGCCTCGCCTTGATGCGACCCACTTCTGAAGCGATGCTTGACTGTGAAATTGAACAAAGCTGCGCCACGGGTTTCTCTTCCAGGCGTCCTTGGGCATTCCTTTGGCTTGCGGGCACATGAAAAATGGAGATGTTGGACAAAGATGACAAGGCAATCAGCAGTCCCCTTGAAGACTCCGTGGCCAGTTGAACAACAGCTTCTGATTGCCCGAACATGGTGACGCAGATGCGCTGCAAAGCGACCGGCAGCTGAGACTGCAAGTTCCAGGATACTGCAACTTTCCTGCACTTTCTCGGTCTGCGCAACCAGGAGGACTCGTCTTCCGAGTACTGAAGCTCGTGTATGCAACCATCGTTTCCCCCAAGGAAGACGCGGCCGCTCGCAGCATCAGCCGCCAACGCTGTGGTCAGAACATCATCAGTGGCCACAGCATACTGCGTAGGCATGGGCTGCAAAAGGCGATCACTTCCTGGAGCAAACCGCAAGGCGTGCAGCGAAACCTCCAGCGGAGTTGCCAATATCAAAAAGTAATCTGCATCAACCACGAAGTCTTTTGGGCGTACGACGGCTGCTGCAATAACTTGCTGCGAGACCTGAGCGAAGACACCAGAATGAAACCTTGCTTTGACTCGCTGCTACGAGTTGCACTGTGGCTGCTTGGCCTGTGCTTGTCTTCAGCACGAGGCAAAAATCAGCCAGATGAAAAAAGCATAACCATGGGAGTTTCGTTTGTATATGAGGCCGGGCCAAATCTCTATTTAGCATGCTTGTCATCACTGGCTCCTGCTGCCCGATGTCTCAGTCTGAGCACATGTGGAATTGCAATGTGTGTGTGTGTGTGTTTGTTTGTGTGTTTGTGTGCGCGCGTATGTGACCTTCAGCTGTTTCGCCATATGCTGGAATCAAACTACGGTAGCACTTGCAAGGGCTTCAATTTCGCCGCACACCTACACCCTTTCAAGCTAATTGACAGTTTACACAACGAAATCAATGGCGGGCTGTGCGCTTTCTACCTGGCCGAATGCCAGGCCACCGCCTGCTTCTGCGAATGCAACAACTCAGGATCTAGCGCCCGTGTAGTCAGTCATCTCTTGCATATCCAGATCGGCATACTTCCAAAGTACGATCCTCGAGTCGAAGGAACGCCAAAACCTCTGAATCTCTGGAAGCATTCCTTGCCGGGTGTAATGTGCGCCACTGAAATTTGGCAAGCCCTTGCCCGCAATCTCTGCAGTGAACTGGGGTGAACTGAAGTCGTAGTCTGCACTGCCAACTCCAGCTGTGCACGACTCCTCCAAGGAAAGAAAATGATCGTCATGAGCTAGTGCTTCTCCGATGAGCCTGCCAGGAAGCAAAAGCTGCTGCCAATTCTCTGGCAGTCCATTCTCCATGGGCGGCGCGCCAGCAGGCGCGGACTAATCACATGTCCATTGTTACTTCACTACTCTGACCCGTCCGTCTTGCTCATTAACGTCACAGGACAGGCAGCAAGCGTCACTTCGTGGGATTCAAGGCTCATGACCTTTATGCTTCATGCGGTTCATGCAATCCCAACGCATCAACCTTCCTGTTTTACACTTGCTCTCCGAAGCTTGAATGCGCGTCATGCCGGCATAGCTGAGCCTGGTGAGCCTTGGGCTGAACCGTGGCCGCTAGTGCCAATAGAGTTACCATTACTATCCATGACGAGCACGAGCTCGAGCGGACAGCATCAAGTCTCGACGACAGCCACAGGAATAGTCCTTCTTTGGGACTTGAGATGACTTGCGTGCAGGTACTGTATGTACAAAACTGGTGGATCTACAGGTGAAGCCCACCGATCATTCGGCAATTGCCAGACTTCTCGTCATGTGGGTACACGGGCCTGAGCCATGTGCCGCAAGCACCTCCCGCCTCTCTTCATGTGATGGCAGGGAACACGGGCATCAAAACGGGAACGAGAAAGCAAACATCACTGTCTGTCACTTAGCTCGCTCCAAAGTACTGCATGCAGCATTGGTTTAACGGGCTGCCAGCACAAGCAGTGGCAAATCGCAAAAACTGACATCGAAAGCGCAGCCAATGAGAAGATGAACGACGGAACAATCACGGTGATGCGGTTTGAGTAGAGAGGGGGTGGGTGGACCTGAGCGCGACATTTGCAAGATGTCTCTTGCTTTCTTTCTTGTGGGTCTCTTTTATCCTGTTGCTGTCTCTTTTTCTTTCCTTCGGCTCTTCATCGGCGTGACGCTACCGTGCTAACGCAGGGATGCCCTACTACGTAGTGGACCGAGTGAAGCTCTGCGTGGCGAGAGTTGGGCTTGGGTCGCTTCTTGCACTTCCGAAACTCTCACTTTTCGAGACGCATGTTTGCTTTCGACCCCGTCCTCCATTGCGGTTTCGTCCCCAGCTGGTTCCACCGCAATTGTGTATGCAGCACGGGTGCCAGGTATTTAGGTATAGGAGTATGTGGAGAGATTATAAGTCAGGAACAAACGTCGAAATTCGGGGATGCGTCAAAACAGGAGGCTTGTTGCGCAAGGCCTCCAAGAACAAAGCCGGTCGCAGCAATGGAAATGTTGTTAAGGGACTGCTCCCCACATTATATAGAAAAATCATACGTCGCAAAAGTGCATGCGCACAGAAGGAGGGAGTTATGTAGCCTTGGCACAGAACCGCCTTACCGCCGATCCAACACTCAGGCCCAATCTGCGTAGACGAAGAGCTCCGCAAAACTCTGACAGCTCGGATCGCATTCATCATGGACACAATCTCCTCCAGACTCTTTGGCCGTCTTCGCGCTCTGGACCACAGAACAGCTAAACAACATGCAGTTCACGCGGCCTTCGGAGATGCATGCTTACGCTCGGCCAGCTCTGAAACATTCGCAGCACCTTCAGCAAGAGCCAGACTTGGAAAGAGAAGCAAAGTCAAGGCATCATGATTTTGCAACTGCAACAAGCAGCTCTGTCAACCGGGCCCTCCCACACAATCGCAATTGCAGCGAGAAGCTTCGGCAAAGAGCCTCACCGGCATGCCACGAACATTTATTGAGACTGCGGTTCGGCACCACAAATTGGTGTTTCGACACGTGAAAAACCTGTAGATACTTGCAGGACTTGTACAACGCACACCTTTCTCGCACTTCTCAGACTGCCTCGAGCATGGCTTCGGTGTTTCCCTGGATGCCATTCACTTCAGTGATGAGCATCCTGCGAGTCTGACAAACCGCGTGAAAGCAAAAACGCTGCAGCGTCTATCCTATGCGCGTGTGCAAATCGAGCCAAGCTGGTGTCCTTGGCCGAATTAACATAGAACAGCCGGATGCACGTTGTTGCGAGTTGTACTTGGCCACGGAGCCCTGCATTCAGGTACAGCGAACTTTCGTGATTTTACCGAACGACCGGTCCTGTGGGTGAACATCAACCACTGCCAGCACGCCTTAGATGTCTTGCTTAGCGGAGTTTCACCGCTGCTGCAAGTAAATGGTGAAAAATCCAGCTTCCTGCATAAAAGTACTGAAGTCCATGTCCGACCTTGAGGCAGCGGCCGGCTCGAATGTCCGGATGCAGCCGGACTGTCAGGCCCAACCCTTCCAATCCTGGCATGCACATAGCAGACATGGCGGTGGACGAGAGCCCCATCGCTGGACCTTTCTGCAACTGAGCGGTAAAGCTCGGATTTGGAACCCCTGAGGCGGGGCTGGTCCGACATCCAAGTGAGAATCACAACGACACGGTTGCAATGCTGCTGAAGGTGGCACTCCGTGCCTGCGATGCCGCCAGACTCTACCTGCACAACTCTGCAACATGCCAGTGCTGAAAGCTTGCGACCTTCTCAAGTGTCGTGTGGCAGCACCCAGTGTTCTCGGCCAACACATCCGAAACAGTCAAGCCTCCATGTCGGACTTGGAAATTCTCGTCGCGTTCTCCTCCACTTCCTTGGCCAATCGCTCCTCTTCGGCCTTCTGAGTAACGACCGAGGCAGGAGTTGTTAGTTTTAGCAAAAACAAACATCAATTGTGGAAATTTGAGTCAGAAGTTTGTTTCGCCACAGATGGACTAACCCGCCATGGCAGGCAGGGGGGTGGGGGAGGGGAAAAAAAACAAACTAAATCTGTAAACCCGGCCTGACAAGCTTATTTCGGCGGTCAACAAAAGACTCCGGCCAATCGAGTTTGTTTCGGGCCTTCTTAGCTGCCTCCTCGGCAAGTCTCTCTTCTTGCGCCTTCTTGGCCTCCTCCTCCGCTTCCTTGGCCAATCGCTCCTCTTCGACCTTCTTAGCTGCCTCCTTTGCCTCCTTGGCCAGCCTCTCTTCTTCCGCCTTCTTCGACTCCTCCTCCTCCTCCGCTTCTTTGGCCAATCGCTCCGCTTCGGCCTTCTTAGCTGCCTCCATTGCCTCCTTGGCCAGTCTCTCTTCTTCCGCCTTCTTCGCCTCCTCCTCCGCTTCCTTGGCCAATCGCTCCTCTTCGGCCTTCTTAGCTGCCTCCATTGCCTCCTTGGCCAATCTCTCTTCTTCCGCCTTCTTCGCCTCCTCCTCCGCTTCCTTGGCCAATCGCTCCTCTTCGGCCTTCTTAGCTGCCTCCATTGCCTCCTTGGCAAATCTCTCTTCCTCCGCCTTCTTCGCCTCCTCCTCCGCTTCCTTGGCCAATCGCTCCTCTTCGGCCTTCTTAGCTGCCTCCATTGCCTCCTTGGCAAGTCTCTCTTCCTCCGCCTTCTTCGCCTCCTCCTCAGCTTCCTTGGCCAATCGCTCCTCTTCGGCCTTGTTGGCTGCCTCCATTGCCTCCTTGGCAAGTCTCTCTTCCTTCGCCTTCTTCGCTTCCTCCTCCGCCGCTTGCTGGGCCGATCGCTCCTCTTCGGCCTTCTTAGCTGCCTCCCTTGCCTCCTTGGCCAATCTCTCTTCTTCCGCCTTCTTCGCCTCCTCCTCCGCTTCCTTGGCCAATCGCTCCTCTTCGACCTTCTTAGCTGCCTCCATTGCCTCCTTGGCAAGTCTCTCTTCCTCCGCCTTTTTCGCCTCCTCCTCCGCTTCCTTGGCCAATCGCTCCTCTTCGGCCTTCTTAGCTGCCTCCCTTGCCTCCTTGGCAAGTCTCTCTTCTTCCGCCTTCTTCGCTTCCTCCTCCGCCGCTTGCTGGGCCAATCGCTCCTCTTCGGCCTTCTTAGCTGCCTCAAATGCCTCCTTGGCCAATCTCTCTTCTTCCGCCTTCTTCGCCTCCTCCTCCGCTTCCTTGGCCAATCGCTCCTCTTCGGCCTTCTTAGCTGCCTCCATTGCCTCCTTGGCAAGTCTCTGTTCCTCCGCCTTTTTCGCCTCCTGCTCCGCTTCCTTGGCCAATCGCTCCTCTTCGGCCTTCTTAGCTGCCTCCCTTGCCTCCTTGGCAAGTCTCTCTTCCTCCGCCTTCTTCGCTTCCTCCTCCGCCGCTTGCTTGGCCAATCGCTCCTCTTCGGCCTTCTTAGCTGCCTCCATTGCCTCCTTGGCCAATCTCTCTTCTTCCGCCTTCTTCGCCTCCTCCTCCTCCGCTTCCTTGGCCAATCGCTCCTCTTCGGCCTTCTTAGCTGCCTCCATTGCCTCCTTGGCCAATCTCTCTTCCTCCGCCTTTTTCGCCTCCTCCTCCGCTTCCTTGGCCAATCGCTCCTCTTCGGCCTTCTTAGCGGCCTCCATTGCCTCCTTGGCAAGTCTCTCTTCCTCCGCCTTCTTCGCCTCCTCCGCCGCTTGCTGGGCCAATCGCTCCTCTTCGGCCTTCTTAGCTGCCTCCCTTGCCTCCTTGGCAAGTCTCTCTTCCTCCTTCTTCTTCTTCGCCTCCTCCGCCGCTTGCTTGGCCAATCGTTGCTCTTCAGCCTTCTTAGCTGCCTCCATTGCCTCCTTGGCAAGTCTCTCTTCCTCCGCCTTTTTCGCCTCCTCCTCCGCTTCCTTGGCCAATCGCTCCTCTTCGACCTTCTTAGCTGCCTCCCTTGCCTCCTTGGCAAGTCTTTCTTCCTCCGCCTTCTTCGCTTCCTCCTCCGCGGCTTGCTGGGCCAATCGCTCCTCTTCGGCCTTCTTAGCTGCCTCCATTGCCTCCTTGGCCAATCTCTCTTCTTCCGCCTTCTTTGACTCCTCCTCCTCCTCCTCCGCTTCCTTGGCCAATCGCTCCTCTTCGGCCTTCTTAGCTGCCTCCGTTGCCTGCTTGTCAAGTCTCTCTTCCTCCGCCTTCTTCGCCTCCTCCTCCGCTTCCTTGGCCAATCGCTCCTCTTCGGCCTTCTTAGCTGCCTCCATTGCCTCCTTGGCAAGTCTCTCTTCCTCCGCCTTCTTCGCCTCCTCCGCCGCTTGCTTGGCCAATCGCTCCTCTTCGGCCTTCTTAGCTGCCTCCATTGCCTCCTTGGCAAATCTCTCTTCCTTCGCCTTCTTCGCCTCCTCCTCAGCTTTCTTGGCCAATCGCTCCTCTTCGGCCTTCTCAGCTGCCTCCATTGCCTCCTTGGCCAATCTCTCTTCTTCCGCCCTCTTCGCCTCCTCCTCCGCTTCCTTGGCCAATCGCTCCTCTTCGGCCTTCTTAGCTGCCTCCATTGCCTCCTTGGCAAGTCTCTCTTCCTCCGCCTTCTTCGCCTCCTCCGCCGCTTGCTTGGCCAATCGCTCCTCTTCGGCCTTCTTAGCTGCCTCCATTGCCTCCTTGGCAAATCTCTCTTCCTTCGCCTTCTTCGCCTCCTCCTCAGCTTTCTTGGCCAATCGCTCCTCTTCGGCCTTCTCAGCTGCCTCCATTGCCTCCTTGGCCAATCTCTCTTCTTCCGCCCTCTTCGCCTCCTCCTCCGCTTCCTTGGCCAATCGCTCCTCTTCGGCCTTCTTAGCTGCCTCCTTTGCCTCCTTGGCCAGTCTCTTTTCTTCCGCGTTCTTCGCTTCCTCCTCCGCTTCCTTGGCCAATCGCTCCTCTTCGACCTTCTTAGCTGCCTCCTTTGCCTCCTTGGCCAGCCTCTCTTCTTCCGCCTTCTTCGCCTCCTCCTCCGCTTCCTTGGCCAATCGCTCCTCTTCGGCCTTCTTAGCTGCCTCCATTGCCTCCTTGGCAAATCTCTCTTCCTCCGCCTTCTTCGCCTCCTCCTCCGCTTCCTTGGCCAATCGCTCCTCTTCGGCCTTCTTAGCTGCCTCCATTGCCTCCTTGGCAAATCTCTCGTCTTCTGCCTTCTTCGCCTCCTTCTCCTCCTCCTCCGCTTCCTTGGCCAATCGCTCCTCTTCGGCCTTCTCAGCTGCCTCCATTGCCTCCTTGGCCAATCTCTCTTCTTCCGCCTTCTTCGCCTCCTCCTCCGCTTCCTTGGCCAATCGCTCCTCTTCGGCCTTCTTAGCTGCCTCCATTGCCTCCTTGGCAAATCTCTCTTCCTCCGCCTTCTTCGCCTCCTCCTCCGCTTCCTTGGCCAATCGCTCCTCTTCGGCCTTCTTAGCTGCCTCCATTGCCTCCTTGGCAAATCTCTCTTCCTCCGCCTTCTTCGCCTCCTCCTCAGCTTCCTTGGCCAATCGCTCCTCTTCGGCCTTCTTAGCTGCCTCCATTGCCTCCTTGGCAAATCTCTCGTCTTCTGCCTTCTTCGCCTCCTTCTCCTCCTCCTCCGCTTCCTTGGCCAATCGCTCCTCTTCGGCCTTCTTAGCTGCCTCCATTGCCTCCTTGGCCAGTCTCTCTTCTTCCGCCTTCTTCGCCTCCTCCTCCGCTTGCTTGGCCAATCGCTCCTTCTTAGCTGACTCCATTTCGTCCACCTTCTTCGCTTCCTCCTCCGCTTTCTTTGCGAAAGTTGTAAACTCAACCTCTTCGGTAGCTAATTGCCGCAAGTTTTGCTTCAGGCTTGCCACCGCAGTGTCGTCGTCTGGAGCTTTGACCTTACTACTAGGCCGCATATCCCTGTTCCAGTAAGTGATGTGTTCAGAGCACTTTGCTTTGTGGGAACAGAAACGGTGCGATCCCCTTCAGATGAAAGTACCGCAACCCGCATCCTGCCTTTAGTTAGCGGCACAGCGACATTTTTTGACACTCCTACAAAGCTCGCGCCTCAGCAACCAGCACCGACCGCGTGTTGTCTGACTGCGCCAGACGTGAGCCCACCACCGCCGCCTTTGGCAAAGCATCGCTTGCCCCAGCAGCTCTTTCGCTCGACCGAGCCAATGCTGCATAAGCTTCGGCCACTGCGTGTTTTTCTTCCATGCAGTCGGTGATGTCCGTCAGCTGCGTTGTGTCGTCTATGGTGTCGTAAACACAGGCACCGTCTGCAAGGTCGCACCCGTTTGAGATGCAGTTGTGCACTCCATGTGCCACGACGAACATGCACGCATTGACAGCGATCTCAGCCACAGATTCTGACCTCGAGTGCCTGTTGCTCATGCAGACTTCACTGGTCTCGACATTGTTGGCATGGTCTTGGCCGTCATGCGGCATGTCATCAACTTTGATGGACTGACAAAGGTCTGAAAGAAGTGCATGCAGAGAAATAGAAAGAGAAGGTTGTAAGTCTTCAGAGACTGGTGCTTCTTGGCCGGTCGTTCGCACCTCAAAGACTTCGTCGTAAGCTATACTGCTCCCAGTCTGGTTCTTGTAACTCTTGCAGTGGTTCTGCACATCCGCTGAAATTGTGGCATCCCTCACCGAAGTCGTCCCCGAAAGGATGCGATCCTGAACAAGCTGTGGTCTTGAAAGCTTGTCTCCTGATCCACAGCGGCGCTTCGTGGCAACCTGCATCCGGGCAGCACCCGATGGCAACAATGATCATCCAACCCTGTATCTACGGAATTTGATATTTGCCTGGCAACCCCTAGCTGCTATCAAATTGGATTGCCTGCATCTCCGCAACGAAGCTTGGAATTGACCTCACGTCAGCGGTCGTCTGCGAGCCAACAATCTGCAAGCCTTTCACCTCGCCTAAATCCTGCCAAAGAGCAGCGGTTCATATATTTGTCGAGCTCTGGCGGGCGACTCTGCGATCCGGCGTGCCTCGCCAGTTCCAGCTAAGATGGTGCAGGCCCACACCCTGATCCCTTCGCTGGGGGCATGGCAAGAACCACCCTTTCCTCACGCAAGAGCTTTGCGGCCGTTCCGCCGCCCCCAGCCTGGCAAGATGGATTGATGTTGAGCTTTGCACTTTGCACTCCGGTCGGCAGCAGATCCCGGCCGGCAAACTACTGGCTCGTCGAAGGACTCGCCTGGCTTCCACGACCTCTGCAAAGCATGACAGCAAGCAAGACACAAGTGCCGCTGACCCAAGTCGAGAGCATGCTCCCGTAGCTCCTGGAGAATGGAATTCCGCAGCAAGCAAGGGAAGGCAAACACACAATCCAAGTTACAGGTAGCGAGGTACAGGCTATGACGCGTACTGCCACGGCATGCGCACAGACAAGATGCTCAGGAACGATGCCGCCCTGCCGGGCCCCCTTTGCTCTTCGACAAACTAGCAATACTCGTACTCAGGCTTTTTTCGCCGAAGGACCTGTGATGTTCAGCCTGCGCCAACAACTCACACTGGACTGTCCATGGAGTCCATCGCTCCCTCCGAAATCTTCCCAACAACCTATCCTGGTTGTCGCGAGCAATGCTGGCATTTAGACCGCGCGCCATGCAAAGCCATTCCTGGGCCTAAGCGACTCAGCGACAAAACAAGCCGAAGCAAACGTTCATCGAAGCTCAGGCATGCACAAGCTGGCCGCAGGCACGGGGCGCAACCTGCAGGAAGCAACACGAAACTGGCTTCAGGTACACCAACGGCTCTGAGCACTGCTGCGTGTGACCTGCACATCCAGCGTCCGATGAGCCATCCATGTGGCCCGCGCTACATTGATGACATGTGCGCTGTTCAGCATGCACTTCAGCCAAAATTTGCGGCATGGCCTGAATGGACACTTGTCGCAGCCCGATGCCTTGCACGAAGCCTCCCCTGCGCCTGCTCTACAAGAACTGCCCTTTTCGAATTCGCTGGGACAGATGCTCTGTACAGCTCGGGAGACAAGGCGTTCATGCAACTCTGAATCACATGCCGTGTGGCGTACAGAATTTGACCAGGTCCCCAACCTTCGCCACGAGCAAGAGGTCACCTCTTGCTTGGCCTGCAGATGACAAGGAGCCGAATTATCACGACAATGTCTATGCACACTCTTTGGGCTCCCAGCGCAGGGCATCCGGGGGAACATGCCTGTCACGGCCATATTGCAGTCAATGATGGGATGCTGGAGACTTTGCAGAGATATGTTGAACCTCCATTTCTTGCAAACGCTGGCGAATTGCACCACTGGCGACCTTGACCGTGATGCGGTGCAGCAATGGATGCATCGACGACGTGTAAGTCTCGAATCAGGGCGGTGCAAACTTCCCATCCATATTGTATGTTCGATGCTGGTTTGCAGGGGAAGGTGATGCCGCCTTAATGACATGCCCACATGCCCAGCGGATCTCAGCAGTCACCTGTCGTTGCTCGCGTGCCTTGTCGTCGCACGAGGCTGCTGGACCAGTGCTCCCTCGTAGCCCTTTGGCTTGACCAGCAGCTTCGGCCCTCGCAGCCCTGCACGCCAACTTCCGGCGGTACTTGGCATCTGCCTTTGGCGAGAAAACGATCACCCTTTGGCATCCACAGTAACTAAGCTGTATCAGCCTCGGCCCGAGTACTTTCCAGAAAAGCGGCTGCTACAGCAGCTGGCCTCAGATCACCGACTCGCACCGAACACGGACTTCCAGAAGAGGCCCAGGACCGCACATGTCCAGCTGCAGTGTCGGGAGCGGTGCCAAGTGAGAAACCTCACGTCGATGGGACAAAGATCGGAAGCCAAGCAGCCCCGGAAACCAGCAACAATCGGGCGTGCTGCGGGCTTCACATCCAGCGGTGCCTTGCTTCGCCCGGGTTAAGTATTGAGCAAGTACTGCATATAGAATGGTGCTAAGGTTTCTGCTGGACTGACCGTAGCTGCCCCGTGCCAAGATTCTAAACACTGTGCCTGCGTTGCCATGGGCTCGAGCTACGCCGTAGCAGTGCACACTTGCACACCAACGACAAAGAGACAAAGGGAGACAAAAAGACACAAATGCACACTCACAAGCGGCACAAACGAGTTCTTCCGCTCGGTCTTGAAATCTGGCCTCGGCTTGCTTCCGGGGCTTCGAAGTCAATGAAATTTCTGGCACCTGCTCGGCTTTCAAAGCAACTTCGTATTGTAGGAATGTCGCTTTCAACTTCATTCGTTATGACAAATCTCTCTCACCTCCACTTCAACAATCTGCGGTCTGGATGAGCCCCATGTTGAGCAGCCTCTTTGGTCCTAGGCCGTTGGGACCGGCTTGCACTTCAGGTTCAGGTGCAGCTGCGAGCTTCACTGAGACATCAACAGAACATCCAAGAGCGCAGGAGGCATGCCCCATGTCAGCACTTCTATGGCTGCCTTTCGGCTTAGTACTGTTCGGTGCATTGCCAAGCGCGCTAGCGTCCACTCTCACAGCACGTGCTGTCGACTCGGGCGACAAGGTCCCTTCCCCAGCTTCTTGATTCTCCCACAGTGGAGATCACAGAGCCAAAAGCTCGTAACTAACCCCAAGTTGGCCCAAGTTCTTGTCCCTCAGACCCAGTGCCCGTCAAACATGCCTAATCATACATTTCTTGAGATCAAAACGGGCAGGGCAGATGGAGGGCGCGGCAGAACTTACAGCCGACTACGCTGACTCCGACACCCTCTGGCAGCACATGTGGACATGCCCTTCATTTTGCAAAGCATCCTTTTGTGGTGCCCACTGTCCACGCCTCGTCTCGGTGAAACAGGGGAATGCACAGTGCAGTCACGCAGTGTCAGGCGGACCACGCGCGATTTTCCCAAGCATCATCTTTTACATGCTGAATCCATTGGAAAATTCTGGTGGCCAGGACCTTTTTCTCATCTGGGTGCTTGTCTGGATGCCATCGGGCACATAATCTTCGAAACAGTTTGGTCTGTTCAGCCTCCTCCAGCTTATGCGAATCTCTCAATTCGACTTTTAACTCGGTGATGATGTTTTTCATCTCTTCGTCCATCTGGGCTTCGTCCGCCCACTCGAAGAAGGTAAAATCCTCCTGACGGTCAGACGGCTTCTCGTCCGGGAAAGTTCGTTGGTTGTCCCCCTTGTCTTGGTGAGCTCGAACATCGAAAGGATTTGTGCGAGGCACTCGCTTGCATCGTTTGTGGGACAGAGCCCCAGCTGTGCTTAAGAGAGATTGTAGGACTTCGCGATGATACAGGCGGGCTTGGTCCAATGCAGTATAACAAGGGCGCAAGCATTCACCGCCGATTCCTTTGGGATTCCATTCATGGCAAACTACATTAACATTACTCCTGCCATCCTTTACAAACTCCAGTAGCACTTCCACAACCGATTGCCACCCTGCTTGCACTGCGGCTATCAATGCCGTGCGCTCCTCTGCATAGCCGCACGGGTTGCGGGTGAAAATGCCCGTCTTCCCACTGCCAATGCAACCGAACTCTGCAACTATTGTGTCTAAGTGGCATCCACAGTTGTTGACCAGATGAAGTACTTCAGACACTTGGCCATTTTTAGCAGCATCCACAAGTCGACGTCCTAGGTCTTCTTCTGGAGGTTTGCCCTCGCACTCGTAAGTTTGCCATGCACGCAGCGTGTAATAATCATATTCATACATCGTCCGTTCCATGTGACTCGGCATCCCAAAGCTATGCTTCTTGACTAGCAACTGGTTCTCACGATCCAGCAGGTCGGCCAGATGCTTTGCAATTGGAAAGTCGTGAAAATGGTGCTGCACAAAATGCCGCACCGATCGACGGACCAGGATGCGTTCACCAGAATCCTCGTCCCCAAGTTCTCCCACGTTTGCCGAACAAGCATAAATTTGCCATGTGCTTACGAAAGAATAGAACAGGTTGGCACTGATATCCCCACGCGACCGCATTGATTTTGCACGTGCCAGGCCAGAGCATGGCAAACCGGTGGTGTCCCGCCGACGTGCCACAAGCATTCGCGTCTCCATGTAATGCCCCGGTGCCCCCGTGCGACGGCATTTGATAGGTCTGCTGCACAGCCCCTCTTCGGTCCGGGCAATCCCATTGGTTTGGTAGATCACAGGGGTTCGATCATCCAAGAAGCCAAAGGAACCATCACCGTCCAAGCCGGCTCCATCCACATCATCTGCCGGTCCCAGCTTCAGGCAGGGATTCAACTCACACTTACCCTCCGGAGTTGACAAATATCGATCAAACTTCCCATGGGTGGATTGCAGCACGAACTGTGCGACATAGAGCTCATTCTCATGCCTCCGCAAGGGCCGTGCGTTTCTCAAAGTGCTAACGGTTGGAACTGCGAGGACCAGCTGCAATCTGCCTAAATCGGTGATGGCTTCATGCAGAGTCGGGCCAGTTGGTGGCACAACATCAGCGGCGTCGGAAGATGAGACCGCCTTATTGAGACCAGACGATGTCGGAAACAAAGCTGTTGGAATACTGTGCGACTCCTGTGCTGGTGGCGCTGCAACACGGGCCTCTGAAGGTTGTCTGCGGTCTGTCACCATGTACCCCCCCACGCACTCCGACATATTGCAGACAGTGGCAAACCAGTCGACATGGCTCAGAACCAGTCACGAAGTTTCGCGAAAACGCCGACATAACTGCAATATACTTGCAATATACTGCAATAGCTTAGATCCCTCGCTGGCCAGATTGTCTACTAGCATCACGAAATCCGCCGGGCACACAGCAAGGCTTTGCACTTCTCGATGTGGAGTCTCTGAAGCTTGGACCCGTATGCAAGCCGCAAGCTGGGTCCCAGCTACAAAGTAGGTCCCTGGATAGCACATGCATGCGTACCGACCGCCAAATGCTTCAGGCCTTATACTCGCAAGGTCCCTGTGTATGAAAGGCTGCCACATCCACGCGAACCTTTTGCACGGATGACTCCGGTTAAGTGGGTGACAAGCGCAGTGGCATTGCAAACAAGGTGGCTTCGCCATGCTGGCTCGCAAGGAGCACAAGAAGGCCACACACAAAACTTCCCCAGAACTATTGCCAAATGAAACCATCAAACATCTCACTGCACGCAGCCGCAGACATTACTGGATGCGCTCATGCGCTTAGATCAGCTCGCCCCAGCACTCGTCTTTGGTGCCCAGTTTGGGTCGGCCTTCGGCGAGGCTACATTGGCTACATGTCGGCTGACACGTCCAGATGCCGAAAAGTGAGCCTGTCTATCGCTATCCGGCACAAACACCCGCACTTGCTGCAAAGCTGAGAGGCGGGCCCCTATGCCGGTGAGCACATGCCGGCCCCATTGTTGAACCTGCTCAACTTGGATATGGCAGCATCAGCAGGACAGCCAACAACCATTGCGCACGCGAGCCTTCGCGCTTGAGTGGTGGGTAGTCATCATCATCTTCACAAGGCCCTCGCCTGCATGAATCTTGCGAAAGAAAACGTGGAACAGGACACCTGCGACTCAGCTGGAGCACCTCCTCCGTCCTTTATTTCAGAAACCTGGACTTCGAAAGGCTGGCCCTATCGAGCTAGGCTGATATACGGAAAGAACTGGGCCATCGACGCATCTAGTCTTGTCCAAATACTTGGCAAGTGCCTGGGGTCATGCTATTCGTGCGCACAGCTGCGGACTCGGTAGTCGCAATGGCATCGGCCGGACTCCTAGCTGCTGTACAACGGGGAGCGCATGCGGTCCATTTTCGGCACTGGGCCGGGGGATGATCGGACATATGACAACTCCGGTGCGAAACGAATCTTGCCGTCCGCTGAGGCCTGCCTCTAAAGCGGCAATTTGCAACTCTGCGTCCATGCCATGCTGAGACATTGCCTTCGCAAGATCAAGCCGATGAAGCTGTGACTCCCAGGCCGTCGCGATTTCGTCAAGGTTCGGACAGTCTTTGTCAACTCAATGGCGCGCCTGCGAGCTCAAACGGATGTGAATGGAACCATGTCACGAGTTGCGAATTTCAAGATTTACCAGGTGCCTGTGGGAATAGCGAGCTCTTTCCTGCACATCCTGTGGCCACTGCACCCCGCTGCCGAGGGCCCGCACACCCTGAACGGTTCACGCTGTGATCACAACGCTCACGAGATTAGTGTATTCGCCGTTGCTGCTGGCCTTTGTTTGTATTAGTGCATCTTGACCGTGGTGGCGCATGGCCTCTTCCACCCGCCTCAGAACAAATCTGTCACTGCTGCTTCATTACACATATTTAAAGACGTAGTCCTCAACCTGGGACAGTCGGGTCTTCAAGGCATGCAAACTGCGACGCAGGCACGTGTTCATGGGCAGGGTCAGGTCACAGCAGAGAGCGGGATAGGCGGAACGGGAGCTGTTCCATTGACAATGCCATGCTTCAAGGCACCTGCCCTTCGAAAGCCTTCTGCTCCAGTTTTGCGGCCCGGAACACCCGCACCCGGGCCCCCAAGAAGCCTACAGTTTGCATTATTGGGGACGCGTTCAGCGCAAGACATGGTTAAAGTTCTCACACCGCAACGTGGAATCGCAGCTTCAGAAGATATCAGGGGCAAGCCAAGGTCAGCGAAAGCTTTCAAGGGTTGCTCGCGCATGAAGACACCCTGAGAAAACAGGAATCAGGAGGGAGGATTGACGCAACCATGAACCTCGATGCGATTCGTGCCATTGCCATGCTGGCGCAGCGAGCGATGCTTGGTGCAAACATCGAGCATGATGCCTTCCTACCATGACCTTGAAAGTGTAGTGAGCAGCACAAAGTCAAAAGGCAAAAGGGCAAGATGGTTTCATGAAACCATGGGCCATGACGTAATTCCTACAATAACCATGCATCTGCAGCGGGCAGTATCCAACACAGGCTGGAATGATTCGGTTATCAGGCATCATATTGCAGCGAGCAGCACGGAATCAAATAGTGGGATGCAGGATGCAACCACTGATGTGAACATGCACAGAAGGATCAGCATATTGCAGTGTGCGTGTTAAACGAGGCAGAGCGCAGAACCAGAAAGACGAGGGAGGCTTGACGAAACCATGAAGCATGCTGTGATTCGTACCATGACGATCGAAGCGTGGTGAGGGGTGCTCAGGAAAATGACGGCAATTGTGCAAGAACAGGGAGGCTTGATGCACCCATCAAGCGTTGCGATCCTGCAACTGTAGCGGTGTAACGAGCATGCAGCAACCATTACCATGCAGGCGCAATTAATGATGATGACCATGCAAGTGTGGTGAAGGCAGTTGCAAAAAGGGAACAGAGGACCGATGCAACCACCAGACATGATATGGTGCCTACGAAAAAACTCTGCCCGGAAAATGCGTTACACAAGTAAGCACAGACAAGCCTCAAGCCGGCACAACACTTGCCCACGAACCGGAAGACTAATTGATTCGTCAATCTTCCCACCCTTTTCCCAAGATTGTGTTCCTATGGCCGCCCCCACCCCCCCCCCCCCCCAAAAAAAAAAAAAAAAAAACATACATCGGTCTCCTATGAAAAGCTCTATCTAGCTCCACGCCTCCACTCAGCTCCCACCCTGGTCTCTAGACAGACACAATCACAGCTCAAGCCCAGCTCCTGCTAGCTTTCGTGATTATTCACAGGCGGCCAAGCGGTTAACGAGCAGCATGGATTCTTCCGGCACAGAAGAGCTCCGTAGTTCGGACAAGTGTGCATGTGCGTACAACCGGGAAAGCAAAAAATGCACTGGACTTCGCCTATCTTATCAGAACCAACTCGCCATAGCATTGCTGATGATTTAATAGGTGTCCCTAGATAGTTTCAAAAAATGCGAACCACAGGCACGCAAGGCTTTGACAAGACAAACATCTCTGGCAAGAATTGGCAAGATTGCTGTTCCAAACCCCTTACCCACATCGCTGAACCAGCTGATGTCTGCATAGCCACCTACATGACCTACTATAGAACATGAAAGGCAACCCTCCTGCAGGCTTGGCCCATCCACACTCAGATGTGCGAGCAAGGGGCTCCATGCCCCCAACATCTGCAAACGCTCGCAGACCAGCCTGCAGCTTCGGTGATAGCCCACCCTTATCACTGAGGCACACGACAAGCTTCGAACCCATCTGTTGCCGACCAGACTCGACCTCACCGAAAAGGATCGGTTTCCCGGCACTGCTATTGCAATGGCACTGACAATGCTTGATCATCAGCCAGACCAGACTCAGAAGCAGAGTGAAAGCAGGGCTAAGGTCGACGCATCGCCTCTATCCCGGTCCTTAGCTTGCAGAAAGCTAGAACCGTCGCTCGAATTGGCTCGAATGATCGAGCTGCGGTGGCATTGACAAGAAGACAATAACGAAGCATAAGCCATTGGCAACTGCACCATGCTGTCCTCAATGAAGCGCGCCATGATGCTGGCAGCGGCCCGTATTGCACCTGTGCCGAACACGGGAGGTGACTGTGACCAGGCTGCCAAGCAACTCCGTTCTCGCTGTGGGCTTATGGAGACCGTGTTTCTCAGCCCGTTCTCTCCTGCTTCAACAAGTGCTGCTGGCAAATCCTTCACTGTGTCATTTGGGGACAGGATCTTGGCCTCCCAGCAGAAACAAGCAGTTCGGAAAAAGCTGCAGCACAAGCCTTTCTTGGCGCATGCTTCTGCACTGGGTCGTCGGCAAGCGCTAACCAGCCAACTCCATCTATTGGGATCTTGCACTCCTGCTCGCTTCTTGTGAAGCCCTGCCAGGCATTACTTAACTACCACCGAGAGTTGACACAATGCTCGACTAAGCGTCGTAACAAGTACACAGGCGCCACGAACTAGTGAATGAATTCTTACCTGGCCGGATGGATGGCCAGGGCGTGAAAACTCGTGTTGTCTCTTCGTGCACACTTGCCGTAGCCGTGGGCTTTCACAGGCTTTCATGTGCCAGTCCTGGAATTGTCCTGGAAGCCGCTCGGATTCCCGCGACGCTGACGAGTTTGTGATGCATTGTGTGCCTTCATGTTGTCAAAGCCCTACCAGCTGGCAAGGCCAGCGGCCAGCATCCCGTAGCTGTCGCGCAAAACCGTCTCTCTCTCTACTGAACTGTGAAGACTCGCCTGGGAAAAAGTTCTCACTTCAATGGTCAGTCGTCCATAAAATGCTTGCAAAAAACAGATGGTGCAACAGCACCACATTCTGAAACAAAACACTTGGCCTACGATAAATCTTGCCAGAACACACTGGTTAATCGCTGTACATCGTGTGCCGCCGTGCCGCGGAAAACGATACATTCCTCAAGTAGCACATGCCGTATCTCGTTGGCACCGAGCCCCAACCTCCGGAAAAAGGCAGATACAAAAGTTGCATGCGGATGCGCAGTACCCTCTGCAGAAGCAACCTGCGAGCTGCTCAAGATGGATCACTCTGACGGCCTCTGCCGCTTGCTTTGCCTCTATGACCTCGAGGGGCCAAAACAATTTCATCAGCACGTGCGTGAGTGTACAGAAACGTCGTCGGCCGACGCACCTCGTTTGAGGAGAGTTGCGCCATCAATTGTGGCACAATTTCTTTGCTGGCGGCCTTTCTCCAACGTAACTGCTGTACGATACCAGTCTCATGATTCAGAATAGCTGCTCGAAGCCTCGCCACGGCAAGCTGCCAAAAACAGTCCGCATAACGCACCGGTAGAGCCAGACGGCAGCTGCACCGGCTGTTCTGGTGGTGGACCCCCACCTCGGCATTGACTAGTCAGACCAATCCCTCGCTGCCCTGCCCACATGCTGAAATCAAGCTAAACACGACAAGAGAGCACATGAGTTAGTCGTAGCCCGGCTCTGCAAAAGAACACCGAGATATGCGACTCCCTTGCATGAAAGCTATACTAACAAACACAAACTAGTAGTGTTCCTGTTTGTTGTGACGCTCAGCATATGCAACTTTCCAAGCAGACTGAAGGCCACTGCGTCATCAACCGAACAGATTCGGGCTTCCAGACATGCCGGCTACATACTTGCGCACTTTCATGTGCAACCATTGCTGCAAGTCTTGGTGGCTGCGTCCCAGTAGCTGCGCATGCCCAAGCGGACTGCCACCCAAAACCAACCCCAAACTTGGAACAGCTTTCGTCCCCCTGAAGATCGGCAGATGTTGTTGTTGCAACTTTGGTTGATGATGTTGCTCTCCCACCATGTTCCAAGCCGGGGGCCATCACTGTCCGGTTTTACCTGCACGGCCGCGCGTTCCCAATTGCCCGGCCCAAGAACAAGGCACGAATCTGTTGCACCTCTGCTGCGATGATCCTTGCCAGGGCCTCGCTGGCCCTGGCGCCGATCTCCTTCCCACATAAGACGTCTCAAGCACCCGATCCGTCACAGTGCTTGCAAATTGTGAATACTCACCCTAAGAGCCCCTGAAGATGGTCCGTTTCCTGGCAAAATACCTTACCGGTCCTTACGGACAAGCCCGGAGACGGGCGCTTGCTGCTTCTCCGCTCTTAGCACTTTGGTTTCGCTGTCACGCTGAACTGCTTGCGGCTTGCGCAACCGCAACGACTTAGCACGATACAATCATCGGTCACGCCTACAAGGCTCACATTCAAGCCTGCCAAGACCGCCAGGAAAGGTCCTTCGGCTCCGCTTTGGATGCCATCGCTGAAAGGAGCTGGCCCATGACCTTTGCGTGCGACTTAAAAACTGGAAGAAAGAGTGACAGTGGGCGCTTGCGCATCCAGCTGTGGTTATGTGTCTGTCTCTGCCTGTGTCTGTGTCTGTGTCCGTCTCGGTCTCTGTCTCTCTGTCGGTCTCCGTCTGTGTCTGTCTGTCTCTGTCTGTTTGCTTGCTGGCTTGCGTGACGTACGGGTGTTGGGGATTTTCCCTTCCAGCGCTTTCACTCTACGCCCTGGTCCGAGGGCTGGGACTGTTGAGAGGGATGTTCAAGTCTGTTGTAACCGGTACAAGGGGAAAAAGGGGTCCCCGACAAACTGTCTGTCTCTGTCTCTGTCTCTGTCTCTGTCTCTGTCTCTGTCTCTGTCTCTGTCTCTGTCTCTGTCTGCCTGTCTCTGTCTGCTTGTCTGCCTGTCTGCCTGTCTGTCTGCCTCTCCTCCAGCCGGGCTTGGGGGTTGTGCTAGATCCCCGGCCTCATAGGCCCCTCCTGTGTATTGGGACTTGCTTGCACGCAGCCAAAGAAGGAGCAGTCCGCGCCCCCTCTCGCGCACATGTGCGCACTGGAAGCGGTCTCGGTGTGACACTTTCCCCCTGTGGTTGGTTCGAGGCGTATTGGGACTCTCTCTCTCTCTCTCTCTCTCTCTTGCTTCTTTCTTTCATTCTGCCGGGCTTAGGGGTCACGTCGTGACCCGCAGGCACTTGGCCCGCCCGACCGCTTCTGGTTTTATTAAGCGGTCGGCTTTTGCTCTCGCTCTCTCTCTTGCTTGCTTGCTGCGGGTCAAGGTCCAGTCCAGCTGGACCCGTGCCAAGGCGCCCCCCACTCTCTTGAGTTTCAGAGAGTAAGGGCATTGGGGTCCTGGTGGAGTGCTGTTCAATCCGGCGGTCGGTTGTGTGTACCCCCGTCCCTGAACACTAACATGCGTCCCGGCCTCATCACCGCGCCCTCTATGGCCAATCCTTAGTCCCTGCAGCAACCAGTTTCCCCTCAATTCGTAAAACGTAGCGGCACGATTCCGTTTAGCGAACAAAAACAGCAGAACAAGCTAACATAGGTACTGCAACGTTCTCACGGAATGGTCCCCAGCAATAATTCATGAAGGAGATCAGTAAGTGTGGCTTGAAAGCAACAGGCTGTATCATGTGTGAAAAGTTGGGTAGTTCTCCCAATCAACTGGCAGCTACGTCGAGTGTTGCTGTGCCATTGGGTGCCTTACAGAAAAGTTCAACTAACAAGACTATGGAGCTCTCTCTCTCTCTCTCTCTCTCTGTCTCTCTCTTGCTTGCACACAGCCTACTGTCTCTCTCTCTGTCTTTCTCTGTCCCTCCCTCTCTCTCTCCCGGGCATGAGGGGCATGTCAAGTCCATCGGTTTTCAAGCCCACCCGAAGTCTTGTCGGGTACAGGGGAGTGAAGAAAGAAGAAGTTGTGGCAAGACCTGCTAAAGCCACAACATATGTGATGGGAGGTCTCCACGTCTGTCTCCTTATCACGACATCGTCTTCATCTTTCTATGGGAAGATGTACACCACAGAGAAAGCATCTGGCAATGCTGGATTCACATCTTCCCATGTTTTGTCTCTTCAACGTTTCTCTGTCTTGCTTTGTCCGTCCCTGCCCCTGTGCGAGCTATGCCAAAAACTCACCTGACATAGCCCCCTGATGCAGCATGACGCACACCCTGTAAGGAGGCCGCATCGGCTTGTGCTAATCTCGTCAGGGCGACTTCCTGGCTATTGTGGCCGGCCGAGATTATCAAAACACGCAGGTCAACCCTGCAGACCAACACTACAAGGCAATGGCAATGCATCAACAGACATACACGGCCCAGAAGATTGGAGCTCCGACGTGATTCCAAACGGTGAGCCGACGAGCGTGTGAATCCCAACACTTCATCCAGGCATGCTCGAAATTAGCATAAGATACCCGAGCCGCAAAGAGACGACACACGCATCCTAGTAGCCACGTCAGGCTGGCTCTGCTCGCATGACTCCCCTTCGTATGTACCTATCTGTCGGACCGTGAAGATAATCGATCAAAGGGCCTGCCACCTGCACAGCTCTCAAGCAGACTCCGGCCAACTCGTGCATTGACGAGTGCACGGCAACAGGACTCGGTTGCTTGCAGCAGGTCCTGATCGTAAGCCATGTTTGAAATTGCTCGCATTGCGGTGAGCTGGACCGCCTGGAGACAATGCACGCACTACCCGACATGACCTCTCACCTCACCAACTGCTCTGCTGGTGGCACTGGCAAGAATGCGACACTGAGGTCAAAGCACCCTCGGTCGGGTGGAGCTTGACCATCCGAATCCTTGCTGCAAGGCTGTGGCAACAAGCCCACATTCGGATTTGTGATGCACACGGCGCCACAGGGCTTGGACAAACTCGGCAACACTTTGTCGTCCTGTGCCAGGATAGCCGAGATGGATCAGGATATAGGCGCACGATGGCGCACGTGACGACATGCATGCAGACGATAGCGAATAGCGCTTGCCTGACCGACGGACCGAGCATTTGCATAAGCCAGGGCGGACAAGGCTTTGAGGGCCTTTGCCTTGGCCAGAAAATCATACCCGCAACAACGCAGCAAAGGACGGACTTTCCTTCACCAGGCATGAGGGCACGCTCTCGTTTCGCACGCCTGTCTGTTAGTGGGTTTCGAGGCACCACCAACAACATCACCCCAGTGCCAGAGGAACTGCAATCCAAAAATCAGCGGCCATAACAACGGTGATGACGTTAACGAAAGTAACAAGTTACATGGTATTGCCTGGTCAGCACAAGAAGGATGTCAACATCCGTCGTCATATGTCTGCTTCCATCGCCCGCAACTGAATTGCTAGTCAGGGGTGGGGGGGCGGCACAAGCGGTGCTACAGCCTGTTTGTCTACAAAACAAAACTTCAAACAACAACTTAGGACCCAGCACATTCGGCAGGTATGGCCTTGCCAAGGCTTGAAAAAAAAACAATTCGCAACATGTGCAAGCTTACTCATGTTCACACGGCACATGGAGAACGACGCTAAAAAGGATCTAAAAAGCCAGGGCACTTCGTACTCGGCCATGTGCCGCAGAACCTTGCTCCAAAAAAGGCTTGCAAGGAACACCTCGGACACACAATAAAGTAATATACTGGGAAGCTGAGTTTCATGCCTCCTGCAGGTTCTCTCGGCTGAAGGCCTGAAGAAACACTTCTTAAGTCTTCCAAGCACTCCAATCCAAGCCCGAATTTCCGCCAAGAGAAAAACTATTCAGCCACGTCCATCTACCGCAGACATACACGAAGGTGCAGGCTGACATGGTATTCTCAGCAAGATCTATAACGATTCGAAACTGCTTGTAGCGTGAGCCCAGCTAGCAGTCGCTGCTCAAGTCGCCCGACCCACATGCGGAAAGCACCACGTCCGGCTGGAGTTAGAGTTTAAATTTTGAAGTCCAGCTGACATTCACGGCCCACGTCACGCACGACCTGCGCTGTAAATTCGGTGCTCAACAGCCAGGCGGAAAGGTGCTGGGCTGGGACTTTTAAGCTTCCAATGCGAGACAAAGACGACAATGCCGCGAGTGGGAAGCTACCTTGACATCTCCACCCGGCGCCGGTCGAGCTGGATGGCTAGACCTTCGTTGAATGACCAAATCTGGAGGGCTTTTCTTCTGAAACATGCCTAGAGGGGGCGACCTCTCACAACATGCAAAATGTGTCTTGCAATTCGTGCGCCAAAGCACCCATTCGTCGTGTGGCCACTTCCTGCGTATCCTCGCCCAGGGCCTGATGATGCCTTGGCATAGGGAGCGAGCAAACCGGAGTGCTGTTCTAGAGCCCGAAGCACGCAGCGACACTCGTGCCTTACGTTCGATAACCTTGCTGTTCAGCACTGCTATCTTGTGCTGATTGTTCGGCCTTCCCGTAATTGATCCATGACCACTGCATGTCTAGCAGGCTTGTGGCAAGAAGATGAAGGTACAGTGGGCAACCCTCATAAGCGTAAGCCATGTCATCACTCAATGTCGGAAGCCAACTTACTGGCACTCCAAAAGGCGGCTTTCGTAGGGCTAGTGAAATTCAATCGGAAAACACTACTGATTTCTGAGGTCGAAATGCCCAAATGTTGACGTGTCAAGTTGTCAACGTCTGTGCGTTCAAAATGCATGTGAGCACACGTGCGCACGTGTGCGTGCATGGGTGTGCGTGCACGCACTCGTGTTCTGTCCTTTGCCTGAGACACAAAGGGCACTCCCTACAGGCTGTAAGCAACAAGAGCGCTGAGCATCAGCTACATGTTTTTCATGCATTTGCAGGCACAACGAACATGGGGTCGTGGATGGGATATGCGGACGAACCTGCGCAATCTTTGACAGGATGGGCCGCTTGTGGCATCCAAAGTAAGAGGTGGGCCGCACGGCGCCATAAGGAAGTGCTTTCATACATGCATGGTCGCAGCAATCTGCACAACACGCTTAACAACACGAGACAACAGTTGCGTAGGACCTGGTTTGCATGCAATACCCCTGCTTGCCTCGCTCCCACAACTGCTGTGATTATGCTTCGCGCTCCACTTTTTGTATCAACCCGCACGGTGCCCATCTGAGCCTACCTGCCGTTGCCTGCATCTGCATCTCGAGCACAGACCCTTCAGGTACATTGCGCGCGCCTCGTCCAGGCAGACGAGACAAACTTGGTTCGAGGGCGCAAGTGCAACATTCGCCCATGTCCCTTGGTGTTGTAAAAAGGACTGCCAGCATTTCTACGGGGCCGTACGGCAGGAACTTCAGGCGATCTGGTCCTTCGGGCGGTCTTGCAAGGCGCAGAGCGGCTGTCCTTTCTCCTCCAGCCTTCGGTGACGCTGTCCTCCAAGGAGCCTCGAATTCGCTCCGGCTAGGTGCCCTGACTGAAGTCTGACTTGCTATCCACTGAATCAGCGGGTTTGAGGGCAGCCAGCGCAGGGCGCAACATCGCTATACTGCAAGAACCAGCGGGCATTGATTAGGGTACGCTGTGTGCACAGCATTGCTGGGCCCAGTCGGCTGCATAGAAGCACGGTGCGGAAATTTGCCGCGCGACAGTGGTCGGCTGCTGCTGTGGTGCCCCCTCGCGGCGGTGGTTCTCCGCTGGGGTGTTGGAGCCTCGGCTCAACGGTGGGATGCTGTGCACAAGTAATGCGGATTTGCTCGGGCTTTATTGAAGGGCTCGGTCTTCTCCGAGGCCGATTCGGAGCTGCTCAACAAATTCGGCTGGGCGGCGGGGCATCACCGAACCTCCTTTGACCTCCTGCGAGTTCCTGGAAAACCTGGCCACGTTTATCTGCTCGGGTTTCGGGCCCTTGCCGGAATCGCCATTGTCGAGCACGGTGCTCATCTTGACTTTTTGCATGATCTCGCCCCAGCCGGGACCACCCGCTGGCCAGAGTCGCAGCGGAAGCTGGGCATGCTGGACCTCGAACGGGAGACCAGCTTTGGCCTGCATTGCGTGATCTCAGCAGCCTCAAAGAAGATCAGCATCGAGGCACTTTGCCAGCGCGCGAGCCGCAGCAGCAGTCTGCAGGCTCTCATCTCCGCATGGACCGGGTGACCTGCCCCGGCCATGCCACCCTGCCCAGCACACGCTATCTTGAACAGGGGCAAAGACAGTTCCAGCTCCGGGAGCTTGAGCCCAAATGCAAATGGAGAAAGTATGTCTAACTTCCAAGCACTCAGTCGACGGTTATTTATTAAAAGGGTGTAAGTGGATCAGCTTGATCCTTCGGATGTATGAACGAGCGATCGCATCAAATGCCAGCTGAGAGAAGAGAGGTGATTCGAAGAACGAATCAGAGAACCGACTAATACACAAACATAGACGGGTCGATGGTACATGCGTCCTATCTGCAATGCGTCTTCAGTGTTCGAAAGCAGGTCACATGCTAGACTGGTCGGTTTATCTACCAACCCTCCCGTCTCAAATCAAGGTCTCAGCCCCACACACCAAGCAGTGGTTCGCTGTTCTCAGCCACCGCCTGCGCTGCGCTCGGAAAGAAATCAATGTCGACTTTGGAAATTCTGCATTCAGCAATTTATTTTGAACGCGACCGAGCAGATCAAGCAGCAATCAGTTACTCAACCCGCTGTACAGCTGCAGCAGGTGTATCCGCTTGTCTGCCGAACTCGATCTGGTGATCTGCGTACACAACTCTAAAGGCAAGATCACAATTCGGGATGAACTTACGGGTTACGTACACTCACAATCTGATGCAGTCCAGCTGCCAAGCTGCGCAGCTGCTTGGACAGCACCAAGTTTTCCTTCCAACTTGTTAGCGCAGATCTGGAATTTCCATAGGCTCCGTATGGTTGGAAATTTGATACCGAGGATCCGAAAGAACATGTGGCGAGGACGCCGCGACACTGCGACACAGCTGCAAGGTCTTTGGGATGAACGCCGATGTGCCCACAGGACTTGCAGAACCAGTCCATCGATGCTAGACACTCGTTTTCAATAGTCGACTCGGAGGCTGGATTGACGGAGCAGCTCATTTCCCCATCATGAGTACCCTAGAACTCTAGAACTAGAATGGCCTGAAAAAACACCACGTCTTGAATAAATGAGTCCCCACCTACTTCCAAGTATGACACATTGCAGTATTCGCGCACATAGATCTCAACACACTGCGACGCACGCTCAACAACTTCACGCTGCAAGCCCCATCTTCCCGAAGTAGACATAAGGCGAGTTGAACAGCAAGCAAATGCTTCCTTCTCGTTCAGCAGCAGCAGATATTTCTGCAATGCATCACCTTGCATTCCGAGATGTGCTGCCTCGGCAAGATAGACAGCTCCGCTGCTCAGACGATCATCCATCATTCCGATACAAGAGACTTGGGCACATCCCTCATTGACGGCACCCTTGCTGATCCGAATCTGAGAAGGCCTACCGAAAGTTCTGAAAGATGGAGCATGTTATGACAGAGCTCAGAGCTGGGACGACGGTTCCGGCTCTCCCCTGTCGTTACAGGCTACAGGACTTCATGCATGGCGGTGGTGGTGGGAGGCAACCGAGCTTGTGTTGGTGCAGGCCCGGAAGTGTTTCCACAAGAATAGAACCAACCTCGTACAGGCTAAAGAGCTTGTGGGGTTCATTGATCCATTTTTTGTGGCGTCCTTGGGCCTGCGGTCTCGCACGGCACACTATTGGAAACAATAGTAATGCCTCGTTTTCCGTTAAGCTGCTGGGAAACTGAAATTTATAGGGTCTGCTTCGCAGCAACTGTAAGCTCTTGTTGTTTGTTCGCGAAGCATGTGCTGGCGTTGTAGCACGTTCAGATATGAACGGCAAGAATGTTGGACAAAACAGCAATACTGTAGCAAGGAACAGATGTCTGTAAAACGGATGGCTTGCCCGTCGCACCAGGCGGGGAGGGTGGAGAGGGAAGGCCTGCGTACCAGCACCAGTCGCACAAGGCAAGAACAAAAACAGAACAAGAGGGAACAGCAGAAGCAGGTGTGTAGTGGTATAGTCATGTATAGTCGTAGTTTTTTTGGCTCCCGCATGGCGAGTCTGACGTAGTAGTATTTGTAGTAGTAGTTGTTGTTGTTGTTTTGTCGTAGTCGTCGTAGTATTAGTAGCAGTAGCAGAGTAGCAGTAGTATAGCAGGTGCCCGCAAACGAGAGCCGAGCACTGACCGAGATTCTCGCCAATTTCGACCAGCTTGGTTAGGCCATGTTAGGCCCAAAATTGGCGGGCTGCCGGGGGGTGGGGGGTGGGGGGTTCAAGATGACACGCAAGCTTGGTCGGATCGGAAGGGGCAAGTCTGCGCGCACAGGCTTCGTGAACTTTGTCGAATATCGCTCATGGGGGGGGGTCCGCCAATCTTGCAATCTGGCACCACTTGCTCCAAGTGTGCGTGCCTCCAATGCACCAGACAAACATCAAGAACCACGATTGCCAAGACCACCCCCCCGACCCCACCAGAACTGCCCACTCAGCCACCCAGCCACCCCACCTTCGGGCGGCGGGGGGGTCGGGGGGGTACCCTAAACAGAAAAACGCGAAACCCTAAACCTTACAATACTAATGAATACCAAAACTAACTCTGACTAGTTCTAACTACTAACTACAAACCCTGAACCAGTAAACCACACGCGCCGGGCGCGCGTAACCGCTAAACTTCCTAAACCCCAAACCCCAAACCGTCAAACTCCAACAGCCCCAACCCTAAACGTTAAACTGTAAAAGCCCGAACCCTAAAAACTCTAAATCCTATAATACTAATTATACTACTTATAACTACTAACTACAAACCCTAAACCCTAACCCCAAAACCGTGAAGGGCACTCGCCGGGTGCGCGCGAATGCACCGTGCGCACGAAAGCCCGAACCCTAAACTTTAACAAACCCTATCCCTCGTAATTAATTCAAACCCCAAACCCTAAACCGTCAAACCCCAACAGCCTAAACCCTACAAGGCAAACACCAGTACTACTCATGACTATTCACGCCGCGCGCGTGACCCTAAACCCTAAACCCGAAACCGTGCAGGGGAGGTAATCTTGGTAATCTTGACGTCTGGCGAGGACTGACCGAAGCCGCACGCCAATCTCGCCAAACTGGGCGGGGTCCCAAGATGGAGGGGGGGTGCAAATGACATGCAAGCTTGGTCGCCCCTAGGGGGGGAAGTTTGTGCGCGCAGGCTTGGTAATCTTGGTCGAGTATCGCAAAGGGGGGAAGAGTTCGACAGTCTTGCAAACTTGCACCACTTCACTTACACCATTTGCATCACTTGCGTCATGTGCACTCGGACGGGGGGGGAAGTAATCTTGGTGATCGTGGTGATCTTGAAGGAGGCTTGCAAGTGCCCTGCCACAACTGCCCACCGAGCCAACCAACCAGAGTGACCCACGCACCCAGAGCACGCGCAACCCCAAACCCAAAACCCTGAAAACCCATAGCTTAAACCCTAAAACTTAAACTGTAAAACCCCAAACCCAAAGCCCTAAACCCCAAGGAGCCCAAACTTCATAGTACAAACAATACTAACACGCCCGGCGCACGTAACCCTAAACCCTAAGCAGTGAAAGTCAAACAGCCGAAGCCTTAAACCGTTTAAACCCTAGAGAGTAAAGCGCGAAACCCTAAACCCCAAGAACCTTGAACCCTGTAATTCCCATATGAATAAGTACTAACACTATCAGTATTTAACTACTAACCAAAAACCCTCAACCCTAACCCTAAACCCGTAAACCGCGTGCGCCGGGCGCGCGTAACCTCAAAACCCTCAACCGTCCAACCCCAACAGCCTTAACTCACTCACTCACGCGCCAGAGGAAAGTCCTGTGCTAGTCAAGCATGCACTGCAGGACAAAAGCAGCCTACCTGTAAGGCAGCGTCCCTAAACCTAAAGCAAGCCTGTACAGGGCGTCACGCCGAGGGCTGGTACGCCCAGAACGCCCTCAGGGGGGCAGCAACAGGGGCCGAGGAAGCGGCGCCCCAAGCAGTGCTCAGCAAAGCAGAGCGCAACTGAGACACAGAAGAGTCGGACCCGGCAGCGACAAAGATGTGGCTTCCCGAGGAGGGGAAGCACGCGAAGGAGGCCGACGGAAGCAGCTGACGGAGCAGGAGAGCCCAACAGGGCTTGGACGGCCCAGAATCCAGAAAGCCCCACCGAGACAGCCCGGCAAGAGAGGCGGAAGGAGACAAGGGCAGAAGCCAAACCCAAAAGGGACCACCTGCCGGTGACTGCGGCGCCGAAGAGGCCACGGTCCCCGAGGCCTCCGGAAGAAGCCGACCGCAAGACACGGAAGCAACGAGTGGCAGCGAAATCCTAGGGCTCAAAGGACTGCAAAGCCGACCACACGGGCCAGAGGCGATGCCACGCCGACGGGAGTTAGAAAACACATGGCGGGGCGAGAAGGCCCGGCCACCACGGGGTAGGCAAGGTGATGTCATCCGCAGCAGCGGCGCCATCGACAAAGAAGAACCATCTCGCCCACGTCAAGTCGAAACGGGGCTCACCAGTGCCCGCAGGAGAAGGGCCCGGAGCCGGGCAGACAGGAGCAGTGTCGAGAGGGGGGGGGCCGAGACAGGCTGGCGGCCAGGAGGAAGCAGAAACGCCTTAACCCTAAATTGCGAAAACCCAAAACCCTGAAACCCTAAACCCTATGATAATACCAGCACTACTTATAACCGCTAATTGCGAATCCTAAACCCTAAACATAAAACGTAACCCTCACACAGCGAGCGGGCGTGCCGGGCGGTCGTAACCCCCAAACTCTAAACCGTCAAACAGCAACAGCCTAAACCCTAACCCTAAGCCGCAAAACCCCAAAACCTCAAAGCTCTTAACCCTGCAATGCTAATGCTGAACACTACGTTACTTACTACTGATAACTGTTGACTACAAACCCTAAACCCAATCCCTAAAGACCGCAAGCCGCACTATAAAACCGCAACAGCCTAAACCCCAAACCCTAAACCGTAAAACTCCAAATCCTGAA